GAGAGAGAGAGAGAGAGAGAGAGAGAGAGAGAGAGAGAGAGAGAGAGCTCTGAAGACAGAGAGGGAAAACAAAATCCCAGGGAGAGAGACACACCAAGAAATTCTGAGACCTGGGACCCTATAAACAGAGACTATCAGAAAGCAAATCCCTAGAAAGAGGCCCTTGAGAGCTTCAGAGAGAAGGAGAGAAAACCCCAGAGAGACCCTCTCCAGAGAGAGACACTACACCCTTCCCAAGAGACAGTCCTTGAAGAGATACTACAAGATAGATTCTGGAAAGATGCCTAAAACGAGTCATCTGCAGCAAAACTCAATAGAAATCAGCAGAGACAACACATTCTAGAGCTAGACCCCCAAAAAGAGAGAAGGGAAAGGAGAAGGGGAAGGGGAAAAAAGGAGGAGGGAGAGAGAGATTGAGGGATGACTGTGGAAAGTGAGACTGCCTCCCAACCCCTTCCACATCCTCTCTCCTGGTGCCCTTGAAGCAGTGTGCAGCTATGAGCACCCAGATTGAGGTCAATAGAGAGCCCCCACAAGCATGAGACCTTTGGCCATTATGGGTAACCAGCTGCATACTGACCATCCAGGGCCAGGCCCCAAGACGAGTGTCCTTGCCTCCCAAGATTCGACTGTTTACATCCTCAATGTTGGCCCATGGCCGTAATCCACAGGGGCCCCTGGAGGAAGAACAAAAATCAGGGCTCGTAAGACAGGGGGATGATGGGGAAGGGGAGGGTAGGAGTTGAAAACTGTCTTCAGCTTTCCTCCATCCCTAGACAAGACCAAATGGGAAGTTCACCCCATTCCCTTCTCCCTAGCCCTGAGGCACCTGGGAGGAAGGGGAGAGGAAAAGGACTACCTCTATGTCTTGCTCCCAAGCTCACGTGTCCCCCACATTCCTTCTCATGTGCTCTCCTACAAGTGTACCCCACTTGTGCATGTGCGTCCCCCCAACATGCTCTCTCTCACACACACAATCCTAGAGGAGAGGACGGACTGCAGAGGCTTGTCTAGTGCAAGAAACCCACCTATGTGGCCAGCTAGCCTCTGCTGGAAGACCTCAGGTCAAAGGGCCCATTTCTCTTTGGGATAGCCCTAACACTTGTGTCCTGTGTCCCCAAACATACACCTTCCACATTCATCATATGTACCCCAAACATGTCTTCCACCTCAATCACATGAACCTACATACACATGACTTCTCCTCACCCATGTCCCCTATTGACTTACATACACAGCTCCTCATCAAAAGCCCCCAAATTCCCTATAAGGGAGAGCAGCAGTGCCTGGCATAGCACCCCTGTCCTCCTCACCCTCCAGCTTGAACTGGGAACCATCATGACATCACAGTGCCCAACACCAAGCCAATCCCAGGCCAGAGCCCCTTGTGATGGTAAGAGAGAATGTGGGGGGATGGGAGGTGTTCCAGGAAACAGAGGGAGAGGAAAACCTGCAGGTAAACAGGTAGATAATGATTGTGGCTCCCATGATCATTATCCTTTGAGGCTCACAAAGCACTTTCCTCACCACAACTACCATATGCCATGGACAGGTTATCCAGTATGGTTATCCTCATGAGACATTATATCTAGGTGTGCCTCAAAGCCTTTGTACCAGACTGAGCAAATGGACAAGTTAAAACTTTGCTCCAAGGAATCAGCCCTATTTCTGTGCCTTTTCCCAGTTCCCTCATTGACATGGAAGAATGGAAAAGGTTGTCTAGCCAAGACTGAGGGAACAAAACAGGGAAACTCAAAAGGAGGCTTTTTGCTGGTCCCTGGCAAGTTTTTCTGCTTTTTTTCCCCTAAAAGTTATTGGAAGAAAAAGCATATAGCCTCTGAGCTAGAAGAATATATGAATGCCTGACCTTCCCTTGAGGAAGAGTTAGCCTAGGATTTCAGCTAAACAGGAAGATGTAGGTGGTGAACTGCAGACAGAGATTTTGCATCCAGTCAACCTGTGTCTGGCAAGGCTGCATTCATCTGATGAGCACTATGGAAGACTAAGAAACCAGCAGGAAGCAGGCCTGATCAAGGCAGCCCCAAGAGAGCACCGGAAAGCATCAGTGGCCATTCTGTGTCAGAAGCATGACTTGCGCTTCCATGCTTGTGCCTTGGCCCCAAATGTTCCTTGCACTAGTCTTCCCTACAGGTGTACATTCTTGCCATTGTATATATATAGATTTGTGGAAAAGTGCATACCAGATTTATGGGGGAAATGTTTTGTCACTACTTTCGTTACTATGCTATTCCATTAAATGCCTTTGCTTTTAGCTGACTGTGTTCTTTTGGCTGGCTTTTAAAGGTGAACATCAGCGGGGGCTCATGTGCTATGGTCTTATTGGATGGAGAGCACAGGGTACCTAGAATCTTAAGTGGGTGTTGTCTAGGTCAGTGGTGCAAACTCAAACAGAATCTGATCCCTGCAGCCATATATTGACTAGAAAATGACAAATCATCAGTACCTTGTACTGTATATTTATTTTGCCAAACATTTTCCAATTATATTTTAAGTGGAAAACTAAAGTTTCCTGGTCTGGGATTGTGTTTGAGAGACAGCATGTTAGTGGGGGCAGGGAGACACATCCAAGTGGGTGCACATGTAGGAGAGCACGTGTGAACGAATGTGGGGGAGACGGGAGCTCAAGGGCAGATACGGAGATGGGCCTTGTCATCTCCCTTTCTCTTCAGTTCAGGCTGCACTCACTTTGACAGCCTTGCCCTCTGGCTTAGAGGATCAAACCTGAACATTGTGTCGTGCCATCAGTTGACACAAATAGACGAAGAAACTGAGGATCCAAAAAGTCATGGATCGGGGTGGGGGGGACCCTCTAAAACCATCTGGTCTAACAGCCACTCATATCAAGTGTTGTCTCTTCAGCCTCTTCTACATGCTCTTATGGAATATTTTCTTGAAAACCTCTAATGACAGAGTATGCATTACCTACACAAAACCTAGACATGAAATGACTTACCTAGAATGAAAGATAAAGCTAAAACTCTAACCCAAGTTTTCTGATTCAAAATCCTGAGTTATCTCTACCACAACACCTCATGTCTCATAGTCAATCAACAAGCACATAGTAAGTTATTATGCCAGGCACCGTTCAAGGTGCTGAGGATACAAAGACAGAAATAAAATGCCTCAATACTCAAGGACCACGTATTGTTTCAGGGAAGATGTCCATGTATCCCAGGCATGCCGCTTAACATGGCATCCACATACCTCCAACATGCCTTCACTGGCAGCTCTAAAAGAGTAGGGAAGGAAGGAAAAAGGAGTGTGGAGGGCTCAGTTAGTGTCTCTACCACATGGCTACAACCCTACACATTCAGGGTACTCAGGGGTAACTATAGCAAGGGGGAAAAAAATCAGTTCCTACCAGTCACCACTAAAACACCTGTGCTTCTAACAGTATGCCCTCTATTTACACGAAATAAGTTACAATGACACTGCCGACTTTTTTTAAAAATAAAATTTTATCGTTATCTTTTGTTTTCATATTGACCAAATTTCCCCCTTCATTCCTTCCCCTCCCTTTTCCAGAGAGATACCATTGACTCTTAAACATAAAACATTTACTTAATAAGGCAAAATAAAGAATAATCATGATATTTATTCAATAGAAGGCAAAAGCAGGAATAAAAATATAATTGTACATCCATAAACCGAAATCAGACTTTCTTACCAATGAACACAGTATCCAGAGGAGTGAGCACACATCCATGAAACTTAGCAGAAAGGCACGTGAATAGGGAAACCTATGTGCTTGGGATGACCCTGGATGGCAGATCTTGGTGTCCTTGGTCTCCTATAGAACGGTCTTCACCAAGCATCACTTTTTGAACAAAGTCATTTCTTAACTACTCTAAGGTGACGGAAGCACAGTTAGCCACTTTTAATATGCAGTCACCCTTAGCGGGGTGCTGAAAAGTGTTACGCTCTTTTGGCAAAATATATCAGCATAGCTCAAAACAGGTGCAAAGCTAGCCTCTCTCCTTTACCTTCTCTTAAACTATAGAAAACAATGAAAGGTAATGTATCCACCCCCAGAAAAGTTCCCCTTCTCTTAGGCGGTTGAAAGCAATAAAGAGAAATAAGGCTAGACAGCTCTTCAAATAAGTAGAGGGCCCTGCTCTCCTCCAAGCAGCTTCTACAAAGTACAAAGCTTCTCTGGTTCCAATCCTCTCTCTGTGAACACATCCTTTCTCCATCCAATCAGCTCTCAGCAAATCAGCCTGTCTTCCGATCATCGTGGCTTCCAGCAAAATAGCTTCAGAGTCACCTAGACAATTCAGCTCCTATCAGTTCCTCTATTCTATCTTCTGTAAGTAGCTTCTCTCATGCATGGCCTTCTGTGTCTCCTGTAACCAAGTCCTCACTCTCAACTTCTCCTGCTTCAATCTTTTTTCTGGTCATCTCCTTGTCAGTTTTTAATACCTTATTTTAAAGCCTCTTTGTATTTAGTGACACATCTCCAAGTTATGGTATGGGAAAAAAATCAATCTTTCTATCAAGCATGACTCCAAAGTCCTTATATTATCTTCCTGTTGTCCCCCAAATAGTTGTTTAATTTAAAGTTTAATCTGTCAATCAGTAAACATTTATTAAGCAACTACTATGTGCCAGGCACTGTGCTAAGGTCTAGGGATCCAAAGAAAGGTAAAGACCATCCCTGCCTCAAGAAACTCGCTCTCTAATTCGAGGGAGACAACCTACAAAAGGAAAAGTAGGGGAGCCCACCGTGGAATACTGATGTTGTGTAATATAAATTTGTAGTGGACCCAGTCAGCATAGATTCATGATTTTCTCCAGCCTTGTTCAGCAGCACCTGTGTAGGAGCAAAGACAGCAGATGGTGGGAGGCATCCAAAGTGGATTCCAGATCAGGTGTATAGCTGCAAACCTTCAAAACTCTTCAAACATGTAATTCGTGGCTTTTGGACATAGGTCCAATTGACCCACTGTGGCCCTTGCTTCTCCCTTCCTTGGCTTAGTGACATTGGTCTCAAGATCCTTGCCCCTTCCAGCAGCTCTGGAGAAGTCGCACAGGGTCTCCTCTTTTCCTCTGAGATGGTTTGGATAACTCTGTCCCAGGAAAGGTTTGGAGGAACTGCATAGGAGAAGTGCAACTCTCCCTGTGGTGAAGAAGCATTTACTTGAAAGAAAGAAGAACCTTTAGGCCAGTGGTGTAAAACTGGAATCCCACATTGACCTAGAAAACTATACATCAATACTATGTTGTATTGTGTTTATTTATTTTGTTAAAGATTTTCTAATTACATTTTAATCTGGTTCTGCCAGCAAGCAGTGAGTTTGACACGTCTGAGCTCCTGCTGACTTCATGTTATAATTCCAAGGTCCAGGATGGGCCCCTGAGGAAGAAGAGCAGAGACTCTCCACATGAGACCCGAAGAGGACAAAGATGGGCTGTCCTGCCTCTGACGTGATTCTGAAGGAGGGGGAGGTTTGGTGAGTAAGGCAGGGAATTGGTTGTTGTGCTTTGTTCTTGAAGAAGACCAAAAGATATCACTATGCTAAAGTCAAGTTACAGTGTGTCCGACTGTGGCGGATCAGACCAATACGAGCTCGGAATGCTCTACTACAGGTCGGGCACAAACGCTCTGTGTAAACATTTGGGGTGGAATCTCTAAATCTGTGCATCTTGCATTTCTCTTGAGCTATTTCAATTCCACTTTGCTCGTAAAGCACAGCACCTTCTCTGATGAGCGCACATCATGGTGAGTGATCCTATGCCAGTGTTTCCCATGTCACATAATCAATTCCAAAGTTCTTAAGAGAGACCTCAAGAGTGTCCTTGCATTGCTTACTGAGTGGGTGGATCCCAGGGCTTAGCACTCAATAAATGCTGGTTGACTGACTACATCTGAACACGTGCACCTCAGTCTGTGACCTGTCTGCCATGACAGATTTGAGAAGC